ACGTGCAAATACCCTTGGGAAAAGTATGCATCCATCTCCCAGTTATGGATTAAATAGTGGGACTTGTAATGCAATACTCACTCGCAAAATATAATTATTCTTAAAATCCAGAATCTGTATCAGTTTTAAAAAACCCACTAAGATAAAACGTAAAAAGCAAATTAATCAGTCTCATCTCATAAAACAGGTATTTATTGACGAATTAACCTACTACTACTACTACTACTATTACTACTACTACTTCTACTACTATTATTATTATTATTACTACTACTATTATTATTATTATTACTACTACTACTACTACTATTATTATTATTACTACTACTACTATTATTATTATTATTACTACTACTATTATTATTACTACTACTACTACTACTATTATTATTATTACTACTACTATTATTATTACTATTACTACTATTATTATTATTACTATTATTACTACTACTACTATTACTATTATTATTTGCAGTGTCCTTTCAGGATGTAGACGATTATGTCTTTCCACAACTTCCTATCTTTTACAACTCTAATTAATGTTTCTCCGTTTAATATCCTTCCCAATCCCTGTTCCACAAGCCATTTACACAAGCTCGTTAGGTAAGTTACTTACTGCTTTCCTCTGCCCTCTGTCTTGTGAGTGTCGAATTCTCTAAGCTCTCTTTCCTCGTTATGCGTCTCCAAAATTTCAGCTCTATCTTATTTTAAGTCTTTTTTGTTCTCATTTTCCTGACAACTACCTCTTTACTCGCATGCTCCGTCCATGATTTTTGCAGTATCCCTCTGTAGAACAAAATCTCTGTTGCCTTAAGTCTCCTATTCACCTGTAAGTACATTGACCAGAATTCACTGCCATATAGAACGACTGATATTACATGGCAGTTCGATACTCTTTTCTTTGTTTCTTACGCAAATTTACTGTTTCTTGTAAAAATCATCTATTATAATGATTATAACGATTGTGATCCAAATGACGCCGATAGTTGGTTTTTATAATAATCAATATTAACCTTGTTATTTGTATTAAACAGACATATTACATGGAAGTGAAAGGAAAAGGAAATTAAAAAAAAGAAAAGAAAATGTATAATTACCCTGAATGACAATTCGAAAAAAAATACAGTTGACCTGTTTTTTTTTTTTTTCCTCCCGCTTCGGGGTTCAATCGAAGAAATAACATTAATGTACTCCATGACCGAAATGGGAAAATATTCTAAATGCGGATAGGATATGAACATATATTAATAATATACCGATATTATATATAGCATTTTACTCCCATGTAGGGTCAGATTATGACCTTTTAGGGTCCCTGGGCTAATGAAATTATGTCCCCGACTCAGACGGAGTTACCCTCAAACTCACCCAACTTCAATATTTTTTACTAGTAATATATTTTATCGTCATTTACATAGCTTGAAGTAAACTTATTGCAAATTGTTTAAATAAACTAAAATAGCTATCCTTTGTTTGTCAATAAAAATATTTTTTAAGAAATATCACTATTTATTGAAAGCAGCCCTAGTAAAAAAAATTTTTTATAAGAATCTTAAGGGGTACGAGACTGCAGCCTATAATATAATCAGGCCTTGCTTCCATGAAATATCTGTTTAAATAGAAATAATAGTTCTTTTGTACCTCAAAGAAAAATCGTGATGGGACATTATGGTTGCGGCATCCATGTAGAAGAGGAAAGTGTGATCTTATCTCGGTCTCAAATGAGGATTTTAGTAAAAGAACAAATAAGTGAAAGAAAGTATTTAGGGGTCAAGCGACAAAAAACTGGACATTGATTATTTCATTAAACCAATCATTAATGGAATGCCTAGAACATTTCCGAAGAAAAAAAAAGCAGACGCTTTCTCCGCTTGCGGCAAAATGCTCTCTCACACGACTGAAGAATTTCAGTCAGTGCGTGTTTTCAAAGACCGAGTGGCCCAGGCTCGCTGGTTGATTTTATCGAGTTACCATCTCTTCGAATGGTTGTCGATCAAGAAAATAGAAGCCAGGCTGCCCTGCTATTTAACTCATAGCTGGAAGATAGAAGAGATGGATTCATACCTTTCCCAATAGTATTTGCGGGTGAATATAACGAGCTTGACTGGAATTCGAACTCAGCACTCCGATCTTTCTATCCGAGCCGCAATTCGTTCACAAAAAGACATGGAAGTGACAACGAGTGTTCGTTGACATTACAAAACTGGGTAATCATTTGGGAATACCAGATGCTGTAAGCTTGGATGTGCGGATGGTGTGATGGATAACGACTTGAAATTGTTAATAGAAGAGCCGAGTTTCAATTTCAGTCGTGCTCGTTATATTCGCAAATAACCTTGTGAAAGATATGAATCCAGCTCTTTTCCCCACCATCTATGGGTTAATTATTAGAACTTGTATTAGTAAACCATTAGCATCACGAAAAAAAAAATTACAATCTAAAAGTGTTTTCTGGCTTTAAATAACCTGCAAAAGATTGATAAGCCGTAATTTCTTCCTTTTTTTTTTTTTTTTTTTTTCATTATTCCAATTCGCGTTCTCATTTGCATTTTCCATCCCTTGTTAAAACACTTTCCAGGTATTTATCCTTCAATACTTGAGTGATGTTGACATTTCTTATTTATAGCTCGCATCTTGGATTTTTTTCTCTTCCTAACAACCATACATTTTGCCTTCACCAATTATTACTGGCGTCAAAATTCACTGAGTACAAATATCGTAATGACTGTGATATGAAATATGAACATCTCAGTGGTGCTTATCGAGGCTAACCTCCAGTAGAGCAACACTTTGCGCCTTCTTGATCTCACGTTTTCCAGTGATATGGAGTGGAGTGATTATATTTAATCAAACGCTATGTCTACCGCTAGGAAAGTTGGTTCACAGTGACATGCCAGACAATTAATCTCGTTAGAATCCATCTTGCATCTTTATAAATCTACTATTCGTCTGCAAATTGAATATAGCTGTCATATCTGGTCTCGTGCTCCGGCTATATATCACGAGATTCCTGACAAAATTCAAAGAAAGATCTGTAAATGTTATCGATCTTGACCTGGCATCTAGACTTCAGTCACTTTCTCATCGCCGTGACGTTGCTTTCCTGTGCCTTTTTCTATAAATAATTACGTGGCAGTTGTTCTAATAAGTTCTCCCCACCCACCCACACACACACACGCGCGCCAGACAAATTGTACATATGGGAACTATTTAGTACTACATAGAGACTTTGAGTTATTTGCATTTACTCACACCCACCCACAAGGTCAGGTTGTGATACATGGTCGGTTTAATGTGGATAGCCCGAGCGCGTACACCCGGGCTATGAACAAAAATTGCCCGCAACCCCCACAACCGTCGGTTGCGCTAGCCTCGGTGCGAGCACCGATCCCTCCCTCTGGTGCAATGGGAGGGCACGACCATGGGCAGCTGTTCCCCAGGGCTGGGCACCTCTCAGTATAATTTTCTTCAGTTATGACGGAGCCGCCCCTGAGCATACTCTGCTCAAAGACAGAGACGTAACTGAGAGATGATAAATAATTTGTTACAAACTATACGAGGGAGTAATTTACACACTAAGACTTTGAGGTATTTTGGTAGCTGTAGTAAAAATAATAAGTAAGAATGTATTGTTTTGGTGTAAGGAAGACTGTGGTATGTTTGAGTCAGTAATTGTGGCTACCTAAATGTCCCACTTTTGGATCTGTGCCACATTTTTGTATTTTTCAAAATAAATATTGCTCTTGTATTTAGTATCTCAACTTTAGGAATTCAAACGCACTACTAGATTGGCAAGTAGGTCTCATTTTTTAGACTTCCATTTCAAAATCCTTGTATTTTGATAGTTTTTGAAGATCTTCAGATACATTACCGTCTGTAAGGACTGCCATGTCCATAAGGAGGCACATATTTTCTTTGCGGTCTCTGATTACGATGTATGGGCGATTAGATTTGATTGATCCGTCTGTGTGTATTGTGAAATCCCATAAAATCCTTAGAGGTCCTATCACCGTAAACATGTCTGGGTGGTGTTCATACCAACTTCTTGCAGTTTCTTTCCTGTAAAAGTTGCAGTTTTCCAATACAGTTATTGGCCTATTCTGTAATGTCGGGTTTTATATCCAGTGGGTGCCAATACCGTGCAACCTGATACAATAGATGGCCAATTGTTTCTGGATATTTATCACAGAATTAGCATTTTGGACTAATACAATTTTTCTGTATGTGAGCTTTGTAATTTCTAGTTAGCAAGCATTGGTCCTGTGCAGCAAGAATAAAGCATTCAGTTTCAGCTTTTAACCCTACACTAAATAACCACTGATTGGTACGGGGTTTGTCTACATCAGCTTATTTGGTGCCGGCAGAGTATTGACTGTGAAGCTGTTTTTCTTGCCATCGTTTCTGTATCTGGTCAGTTACATTTGCCTTTGCTTTCTTTTTAAAGTATTTTACTGTTGAAATAGCTTGATGTAGCTGTAGGTTCTATTCTAATGGTTTCTTTTCTCACTCTTCTCGCCTGTAGAACTCTCTTCCTGTTCCTTGCTTCTCTGCCGCCTACAATCTTCAAAAGTTTAAATGCAACGTCAATCGTCATTTTCTGTCTTCCTGAATACTGTTCCTTTATTATCTTTTCACCTCGTTAAAGTCTTTTCATTCTCTTTCACTCCCGGTAACCCCCTTGCGTCTTAGTGACATTATCGCCTTGCTTGGAGTGAAATGATTAAAACAAAATAGTAGAAGCTCTTTAACCCGTGCCCCCAAAACACAAGAATAGATGGGATTCTTGAAACTGTATAAAATAGGGACTTGTGGGGTGTTCGATGATGCTGTGGAAAGTCCTGCAGTTTTAAGATTTGTTGTCACTTAATTCTCAGAGATGTCCATAAGGCACCTGATGTAAGTAAATAATAATAATAATAATTATTATTATTATTATTATTATTATAAAGACCGCTTGAAAGCTTGGTGACTATTTGATTCTTTAAGAAGCTTTTTAGATGAATTGTTCTTGTCTCAACCATATTTCCTCCCTCTTTTCTGTCACCCACATAAGCTCATATCTACCTTCCTGCTATTCATTGATTGATCACCTTTCTCTGCTCAAGACATTGATAGAGTTTATAGCACAACGCCAAGGATTTTATCGTGATACAACTGACTGCGTCTCTCTCTCTCTCTCTCTCTCTCTATCTATCTATCTATCTATCTATCTATCAATCTATCCCTGTCTCTCTTTCTCTCATTCTCTTTACTGCTACCAGAAACAAAAGAAAAATTGTAAGAAAAAAAAGATGGTCGAACACTTGAGAATGGCATCCAAACGCATGTGCGGAAACGTGAGCGCCAGTGTGCATCTGCTTGCACGTACATTAGACATTGGCATAGACAAGATGATGTATAAACTTATTACCTGCTTTCAGTGTGAAAAATATGTTGGACAGATAGGCATAATGTTTATTCATCTACGTCGGTCTTAGTATTTTAAAAACAAGCGTTCCGAGCGAGCAGACAACTCTAGGCAAAAAAAAAGCGTTCGCAAAAAGACAATACATATGTGTGTGTGTGTGTGTGTGAAGAAAGAGAGAAAGAAAGAAAGAAAGAGAGAGAAAAAAAAACACTGAACAGCAGTACTCATAGATAATTCTTGCGAGACTCATACATCGGGAGAAATTGGGGATATTTTAGCGAACAAGCATAAAAACGAATAGCTGGAAACTGCAAAAAGAAAAAATCATGAAAAGAGTAATACACGAAACGAAACAAATGATTACTGATCGGTAACAATTTGGTGATATAAAAATGTGAAATGATTTGTATGAAATGGCCGAAACGAAAAGAAAGGGAAGGAAAAGGAAAGAATTATTAGCCCTTCAGACCATATATGTCGGTGAACGAATACGTCTTCGTTCCAACTGAAACGGACCTAAAGAAGTTTCAGATTATCTTCTGGCTAGAAATCTACTCATTAAAGCAACATTAAAACATCCCTAGTAAAACGGAGTTTTCGCTCCCTTAACTGCTCGACCGGGCGAAGCCTCATAACGTGCCACTTGTGAAAAAGAGAAAAAAAGACACGAGTAGAAAAAAAGAAAGTGTTGCAGTATAGGCACTAACACCAAATAATAATAATAATAATAATAATAATAATAATAATAATAGCTTTTACTACTAATAACTCTTACATTAATATCCCAAGGTTTGTTCGGACAATCGAATTTTTTTGTTTTGTTGGCTCTTCTCATATTCATAATATTGGTTGGCCTCTCGTATCAAAGTATGCCTGTCTGTATCCGATCCCTGTTGAGGACGCCGGCTCAGGCACATTCGTGTTTGTTTCAATATCCACAGCGCCAATCGGTGGTTTATAATGCAGCTATGCTGCGCGGACCTTAGTTACCGTTACTGGGGTGGAGAGCGCATCGTCCGGCGTGACTGAACATGTTTGAACAAAGGCCAGCACGCTCAAACCCTCAGTCACGATGACTTGTAACTTCGTGCTAGCACAACCATCGACGAACAATTTCGCCTATCCAATTTCACTCACAAGGTTTGGTAAGCTTTTCAGGCAATTAAAAAAAAAAAAAACGCTGACCTCAAAAACTCACATTCCAGCCAAATTGACCATGAGGCAAATACGAACCCGGGTCGTATGGATGGAAAGCAAATGTCCTAACCACTCGGTCAGGCGTAGAACTATTCCATATCGTCTTTTTCATTATCCTCTTTTATCCTTACTTTTCTTCCTACTGTCGTCTTTAATATCAATACAACAGTAATAGTCTGCTTGGCTATCTCGCTTTTTATTATCGAGATTGATAATATTAATATTGCCGTTTCCTCATGAGGAAACATTCGGCATTCATTGACCGAGCAGCCAGTGCTATCGTCGACTGAAATGTATCAAATATTCCCCGTAAAACAGTTTTTCATGAAAATAAGATTCTCAAATTCACTGGCTGTTATCGCTATTGCCAACATTGATGGAGGTTTCCTTCCTCGCCATTTTTTCGAAGTGGTGTGGAACGTTAACATTTTAATTCTGCTTTATTTTCTCTTCGTGTTATATGTGCTATCCATTTTATTTGTTGCTGCTGTTGAAAGTCTTTCTATTATTTGGTATGGTTCTTTGTGGTTTTATAAAGACAGACCACTAGGTTCAAAGAAGGATGGTCTTCGTTGAGACGAACAACTCATTAATGGCCACCGTTAAATCCGGTATTAAGTATAGAGATTAAAATTAAAATACGATATTAATGGGAGATTTCTAAAAAGATCCGGTATTAAGTTTAAAAATTAAAATTAAAATCCGATGTTAATGGGAATTTTTTTTTAAATCCAGTATTAAGTATAGAAATTAAAATCCGGTATTAATGGGTAATTCTAAAACTCCTCCTCTTGTTCAAAAGACGGGTAAGGAATGTGAACCACGTGATAGCTGGGAAGTAGGAAGATTGTATTGCTCCGATTCGTCACCTGAAAATAATGTTTTGGAACTCAAACAGCTTTCTGTCCTGAAATCAATCTCCAAAACTGGAGAGAAATATGCAACTGCTTTAATCTTTCTTTATTTTTTTATTTTTTTTCTCTTAGCATTTTCCTTATTTCTATTCATGAAATTTACGAACATTTAACCGCCAACAACTTCTTAATTATTAGAAAATTAATCTAAAAAGATTTTAGCTTTAAAAAGAAAAGGAGTCAGCCGTATCGAGTCAATGCGAACGATCTTTTCCTTAGCTACATAGTATGTGCTTCGCCAGTTTCTGAATTCAGAGTTTTCCCTCTCCTAGACCAGTTGTCACCCGAGACTATAGAACCCATTCTGTCCTGCTATTTACCCAAAGCTGGAAGAAGAAGAGATGGATTTATACCTTTCCCAAAGGTATTAGCACATAAGTGAATGTAATGAACACAACTGGAATTAGAACTCTGCTCTCCGATTCCTCAATTCGAGCTGTAATCCATTACTCCACCTTGCCTCCATATACAACAGAAATCGAAGAATTATTATTAAGAATGTTATTATTATTATATTTTTCCTGATATGGTATTCAATGCAATCCTTTAGCAAGTCATTTAAAGTCATTCCTGAGGTAAAGGAAGGAATTTTCTTGAAATGGATATGTGAGCGATGCTCATGAATACAATTTTTTGTCTCTTAGACCATGATGGGTTTCTTTGAATTTTCTTGCTGGTGGGGTGTGGGGGAGAAGAGATAGAATCATACCTTTCTCAAGGGTATTAGCACGTAAGTGAATGTAATGAACTCAAATGGAATTCTAACTCGGCTCACAGATTCCTCAATCCGAGCCGCATTCCATTAACCTAACGTCCCTTTAAATAACCTGTAAACGGGTGATAAGCCGTAAAAAATAATTCAATCATATCTATCTATCTATTTATCTTTCTATGTGCGCACCGCAGCATATTGGTTTTAAAATTAACTTAATCAAATCTTCGCAAAATAAATTGAGGAAATGCGTGTGGAAAAAACGATAAGAAAAGACAGAATTTTAAGGAACTCAAAAGAAGGCAGAAGAATTAGCGATGGAACAAGAAGTCAAGAAAAGAAAAGCATGAAATAGTTATAAGAAATAAAATGCAAGAGAGAGCGCGTCGCCATGGAACAAGGAATGAAAAGAAGAAAACTGAATCCCACTGACTTAAAAAGTAAGTGCTTGGGAGTGGGACTTGAGCAATTTTTGAACGGCTTCAAAAATCCCACATTAAATTCGACCTCCAATACCTGTCTATATTTCTGAGATGAAGCATTATAGTTATTCACACTTTTCGGACCGTTGTCCTCATCTTTGTTACCATATTCACGACGTTTCGGCCGGTGGACGAAATAAAGGGTTCGGTTCGAAATTCGAATTTCACCTGAAGAAGGCCGGAGCGTACAACGGCCGAAACGCCGTGAATATGGCAACAAGGATAAGAGCAACAGTCCAAACAATGTAAATAGTGTAAATAAATTGGACCTAGTATCATATTCTGTACGATGTGGACATATTGATAAATCCCTACAACTGCGGTGAGCTCAAGTCTCTGTTATTTGTGGTAGCAGACTTAAACTAAACCTCCTGATAAGCAAGTCGCCACTTATGACTTTGAGGAATATGCTAAGCATAGTACAGATTTTCGCTTGTAATACGAAAGTGGAATGTTCGTAAACAAAAAATGGCGTAAGGCGAATAAGCAATGGAGGTATGGTGGAGTAATGAATTGCAGTTCGGATTGGAGAATCGGAGAGCCGAGTTCGAATTCCAGTCGAATCCATTACATTCACTTAAGTGTTAATATCCTTGAGAAAGGTATGAATCTATCTCTTCTCCCCCGCCTATGGGTAAATAGCAGACTGTGTTTAATAGCCTTGGATGGCAACCGGTTTTGGAAAAGGGGAAACTCTGAATTGAAATCAGCCTGGAGAGGGTTAGGCTCCAGCAACCTGTCTTGCCCAGGGTACACCACTTCTGCTGAAATTTTAGCTACGACTTTCTTTATTTCTTTCTTTTTTTCTAATACCATGCCCCTTCAGAGGATAAGCGACCATAACGCACCCCAAGATTCCTTTCTTTTTATTATCTTTGAATTACCATAATTTCTTGGGAAATATCGGAGTGTGACTTCCCGTTTTCTTCTCCACAGTTTGAAATTTAGAATGGTTTTTCTCATAAACTGGCCAACATCCAAGGCTAGAGATCCCAATCTACACTCCTATTTAATCTATAGCTGGGGGAAAGGATGAATCGGCTACATGCCTTTCTCACGAGCATTTGTGCGTAAGTGAATATAACAAACTCGGCTAGAATTAGAACATGGCTCTCCGATTTCCAATTCCGAGCCGATATCCATTACACCACAAGTACATCCAAGCCTACAGTACCTGGTATTCCGAAACGGTCACCCATCTAAGTACTGACCAGAATCGACGTTGCTTAACCGGTGATCGTACGAGAAGCAGTGTGTCAACATGATATAGCCGTAAGCCTGATAGATAGATAGATAGATAGATAGATAGATAGATAGATATTTTCTTGACTTGATCGTGGCCAAAGAAAAAGAATAGGTCTATAAAGTTGCACCAATTTAACTTGCCTTGAAAACAGCATTTGAAAATTTTGTTTTTATCTGGTCTTGAGCACCAAGCACTGATGTTGGTCGCATATAAACCACAACGTTAGTCACCGCAGCGGTTCCTGACAGAGAACGAAAGAAAAGAAACAAACAATACCCCGGCCATTATCTATCTATCTATCTATCTATCTATCTATCTATCTATCTTTCTTTCTTTCTTTCTTTCTTTCTTTCTTTCCTTTCTTTCTTTAGATAGTCCTAGATCGAATAGATAGATAGATAGATAGATAGATAGATAGATTCATTTATCATTAAATGGTTGGCATTTCTTTTCTTCCTTCGCCTTTATAACACCAACTCTTTCCCTTAACGTTCTTTGTCTCTTATTTCCTCGGCTGATTCGGATATGCTTCTTTTTAATTACTTATTCCTTTTAACAATATTTTCTTTTAAATTCTTTATCCTCCTTCCTTTTCTCTGTTTGTATCAGACTTTACCAGTGTTTCTTTCCTTTTCTTTTTTTCGGCCTCTTTAATTTTTAAACTACACTTCTCTCTCTCTCTCTCTATTATCAAAACCTCTTGACTCTTTGTCTTTCTCTCATATCTTTCTTTCGTCCTCCTCTTTTTCCCTCTCTCTATTTCTTTGATTTTCTTACTCCTCTCTATATATTTCTACCTCTCCCTCTTGTTCGATTTATTTTTCTTTCATATCCGTTATTTTTTTTCTCTTCATAAAATTATAGTTTTTCTTCTTTATTACGTTTGGCACTAATTCTTTTTTCCCTGTCATTACTATATTTATTTTTATTTTTCCGTCTTTTCATTGTTCGTTTTTTTATGTTAAATATTTCACACTGCTTTGCTTTTGTCTTTATTTTTACATCTGCTTCAGTGGCTACAAAAGATAAACTCCTCATAAAACATGTTTCGTTCCGTCTTCTTTTTCCATACGGTCGATCATGTCTTTTATGTCCATGCAGTATTTTACTGTCTTTACAAACGGACGTTAAGTTTAAACGAGAAAAAACAACAATCATTTACACACAAGCATACACATTAACTATCTATTTATTTATATATCTACCCCTATTCATTTATACCTAACTCGCTAGGTATTTATCTCACTCTGTTCATATCTATCTATCTATCTATCTATCTATCTATCTATCTATCTATCTATGTTCGTTTTAGACCATTACTATATGTATTCCAATCTTTGAGGTTTACGATCATATCATGTTGAAATACCGGTTCCCGTACAATCACCAAAGTTAAGCAACGGCGAGCCTGATCAGTAGCTTGATTGGTGACCGCTTAGGAATACAAGGTGCTGTAAGCTTGGATGTGCGTGTGATGTAATGGATAATGTCACGGAATTGTTAATTGGAGAGCCGAGTTCCAATTCCAGTTACGTTCATTATAGTCACTTACACACAAATACCCTTGGGAAAGGTAGGACTCTACCTCTTCTTCCCCTCAGCTACAGGTTAATTAGTATCACGAAACCAATATTAACTTTTTTAAAAATTCTTACAATCTAAAAATATTTTCTGGCTTTAAATAACCTGAAAAGAGTTGATAAGCCTTAGAAAACGAAGTAATCATAAAAATTGGGTCTTTGATTTGTAGTAATATTCAAAATTTAATAATTAAGATAGTTATCATGTAAAGTTCTCAGAAGAACGTCAAAAAAGCAACACGAATCGACATAAATGGCAAATTCCATGAAAAAACCGCCCAAAAATAAGATCTAAAAAGTTAACATTTGTGGCCGTTGCAGAAAACATACCAGGAGATATAGAAAGAGAAAAAGATTTTTTTCTTTTTTTCTGGGAAGAAGAAAAACAAGATAAAAACGAAGCTTTGCAACAGGATGTTGTCAGTCAATACAAAAAAGATTGCTCGTTTACACAAAACTGCGCTTTTACACAAAGAGAAGATAAGCAATGCTCGAGCTTAAAATACTGTCAACTTCTTTCAGTCAATATACTTCTACTTCCTATTCTCCTGTAACCTGTAATGACAATTGAAACTTTTTCTCTATCGCAAACATTTCGATTAATAAGACTGTTTACTTTTAAGAGATACATTCACAGAAAATCAACTTTTACATACAAAGAAAATCAACATTTACATACAAAATTTTGTTGTAAAAATGTACAATAATTGCAGTTTCAAATTTTATCACAATTATTGAAAGTTTGTTTACTATACGAATTGTAACTACGACTTCTTATGAATGTTGATATAACCAAACATCAGTCTACCATTCGTTCGTGCATTGAATATTGCTGCTACATTTAGTCTGGTGTTTCCACAATATATCTAGATAGTCTTGACAAAATTTCTATGAACATTTCAAATGATAAGATGGTCTACTGTTAAAAGATATATCCATAAAAATCAACCTTTAGCACAAATACTTTGTTATAAAAATGTAAATAAATTGCAGTTTTAAATTTTACCGCAATTATTGCAAATTTAATATATTAATGACTAGTCTAAATAAATAATACTAGATTGGTAGCTAGGTCTCATCATATTATTATGAATAATTACTATATTAATTACAAGTACTAAATAGATAAGTACTGGATTGGAAGCTAGATCTCATCATTCTCTATTTGAAATTGCTAGATGTAACCGTAAGTTCTATTCCAAGAGATTCTTCTCTCGCACATTTTGCTTGTGGCACTCACTTCCGGCTTCTTGCTTTACGGCCAACTTTGATTTTCCAAAATTTAAATAGAATTACAATCGTTTGTCTTCTTAATTCTTGTTCTTCTATTGTTCTCTCCCTACTTAATAACTTTTTTTCTTTTTCTCATATTCTTTCATACGCAATAATGCGTCGTAGTGACTTCATTATAAAGATTAAAAAAAAAACATGCTTGAAGATTTCATTTTAGCTTTAATTGAAAGTTTAATCATTAAATTTATTATTTCCATTAAGGAAACAATTCTGGTGTATTTCAGATAGAAACTATATACATTGGAATGTCAAATTTAATTTTGGAATTTAAAATTTTCTTAATTCCCGACATTTTCTTAATTTTAAGAAATTTGTAAACAAACACAAATTTATCGATTTTAAAAATATTTAAAAAAGTTTCTGACACGTTATTTTAGTAAAATTAGAAAATTTAATGTTAAATTAATCTGATTTAAAAGAAATATTACTTACTTCTAGCATAAAAAAGTAATATACAACCAATTATTAACGATTGGTACTGTTATTTTTATCCAATATTTGATCTACGTGTTGATTGACGAGTGATGACAGCTACTACGGATAACCATAAATGAAAATTATTAGAAATCTGAGTGAACGCTTTTTTTTTAGTTTTACTGAAAGGGACAAAACTCTTTTTATAATAATGGCAATTTCAGTCTACTGTACATGGAACATGTACTCACTTCCGGCTTCTTCCTTTACGGCCAACTTTGATTTTCCAAAATTTAAATTACAATCGTTATCATCTGTCTTCTTAATTCTTGTTCTTCTATTGTTCTCTCCCTACTTAATAACTTTTTTATTTTTTATCATATTCTTTCATACGCAATAATATTATGCGTCGTAGTGACTTCATTATAAAGATTTAAAAAAATAAAAAAGATTGTAACTGTGACTAATTGCTAACACCGCTAGAAAATGATTCTCTTGCAAAAAGATCTTTAAATGCAGCCTTTCTGATAAAAGATGCTTTCTTACAAGAGACTTTAAAAATACATCGCATATATCCAGACGGCTATATTCAGCATTTGAGTATAGAAGTGTCGATTCTTCGTGAAAATATCATTTAAACTATTTTGAAATGGATGATAAATACACATCAGCTCATACTTAAATGTAACATGTTATAATGAAAGCACCCGAATTTATAGAAACATCGGGGAATGGTTAGTTGACTATATTAAAGGTACAATTTCACCTCAGAGGTAATGGAACATCCACAACGATTTTTTTTCTCCATGATTGCAACCTTACCCGATAAGGTTGTAACAAAACTTCATTCTTCAGTGCTTCTTCTTCTTCTTCTTCTTCTTCTTCTTCTTCTATACGCCATATCCATTCAGGATGTCGGTAATCATGACTCTCCAGAATTTCTTGTCCTTTGTAGCTCGTAGTAAATTTTGTCTTTTTTTACTTATCTCTAAATCTTATTCTGCTATACATTTTGTTGTGGTGTCCTCCCTCTAATGAGTCTATTGTGGACTCTTCCACTTACTATAAAGTAGTAGGAAAGTAAGCTTCGGGGAACAGTGCCCCAGCCTGTTCTACTGTCAAACTCTCTGCCTAGAGCGGAGAGGAACCCGGACGAGGCTTTGCCGCAGGCAAAGTTTCGTCCGGGGATGTAGACAGGCCCTGAACCCGTTTATGCGGCTTCTATGGGAATATTTTTGGCCGAGCCTACGGGGTCGGAGAATCCACGCTAAACCGCTTAAATATAACAGTGCTTCAGCCTGTTCAACTGTCAAACTCTCTGCCTCAGCAGAGAGGAACCCGGACAAGGCTGTGCCGACGGGCAGAGTTTCGTCCGGGAAGATAGACAGACCCGAACCCATTTATGCGGGTTCTACAGGGATTTTTGGCCGAGCCTACGGGCTCAGATGACTCACGTTAAACTCGGCCTTGTACCACATATATCCCTCGTGGCGAGGAGGCTGTTAAATATTAACAGTGATATAGACAGAACGCTGGTCAATCGACACACACTCCCAAGTCGTGTAACTCACTTCTGTTGTATTTACTGTTCAATACACTATTTATCTGCAACCACTTGTTTTATTATTTATTAACCATTACATGGTCACAAAACATTTACACAAGAACGTTAGGTTAGGTTATGCACTATTTTTTCCTGTCCCTCAAGCCTTTGAATATCAAATTTTCCAAGCATTCTTTCCCTATTATGTGAGTAAAAACTTCAACTGTCTCTTTCTGATGTTAAGCATAAGTGTCCTTTTTGTTTCCATTTTCTCTAAAACTTCGTCGTTGCTGACGTGTTCGGTCTATGGTATTCTCAGCATCCTTCTGTAGAACCACATTTCTGTTACTTCAATCTTTTCTTCATCTGTAAGGAGATTTTCCAGCATTCACTACCATATAGGAAGACCGGTATTGCATAACAGTTAAGTACTCTTTTTTTTATTTCTATATTTTTCCCGTTTCTTAATACATTGCTTAGCTTCTTTCGTTATCTCAATTCGCCTTCGGATTTTGGTGTCGCCCCTTCCGTCCTCTGTTAAAACACTTCGAAAATATTTAATTCAAACAAACGCTTTTGTCAGCTGATAAAAAGACAAACCCTGAAACGTTGGACATGGATTTTGAAGGTAATTACAATCATGGGACGCCCATTAGTTATTAGTAGCTGATTTTATTGGCGTCAGTAAAAACAAAATGGTACAATATATATTTCTGCAAGCATTGCCTTCGTCTAAAGTATGTCATTGCTTTCAAAAAAGCCTTTCCATTCAAGTAATAGTAACCCCGGGGTAACGATTTATACTAATTTTAATATTTACCATATTATATTTTTCAAAGGTGAAGGTCATTCAAAAAAACCCGACGGCAATCGTCTTTTTAAGAAGATTCATATTTATTGAAATAACATAAAGTATTTGTTGTAACCTAGAAAAGGTTACTGAATGAGGAATAAACAAAATGGAGGTTGGAAATGAAATGGTAATCTTTGTAGCATCAACAAAATACAATACTCGCCAGCGGCGTGAAGTAGGTAAACCACTGCTAGTGGTGGACTACTTAGACAGTATATTGTCCCCACTTACAATAGTGTCCAAAGTATTTATGAGGATTAGTGTGTAACTTACTCTTTTTGAGTAGGTACACATCTACTGATCATCTCTCAGTCGCGTCTCTGTCCTGTCCTGTCCGGGGGCTTCTCTGTCAAAGGACAGAGGAGCAGCTGAGAAAATTATACTGAAGAGGTGCCCAGCCCTGGGGAACAGCTGCCCGAGGCCGTATCCTCCCATTGCACCAGAGGGAGGGATCGGTGCTCGCATTGAGGCCAGCGCAACCGACGGTTGCCAGGGCTCAGGGGAATTTTTGTCCCTTCCCGAGTGTACGCGCTCGGGTCCCCATTTTAAAAAGACCTTGTGTCACATCTCATTCTCGTGGGGGAATGAGTAAACACCGTATTTATGAGGATTGGTATGTAACTTACTCTTTTTGAGTAGGTACTCATCTACTTATTATCTCTCAGTTGCGTCTCTGTCCTTGGACAGAGTGCGCTCGGGGGCTTCTCTGTCAAAGGACAGAGGGGCAACTGAGGAAAATTATACTGAAGAGGTGCCCAGCCCTGGGGAACAGCTG